GGAAGAAAGAGAATATAGCAGAAAGATATTTTGTTAGTGGAAAGATAGCAAAACAATAATATTTAGGCCTATGATAAACCGATTCACGAACTAAAATATATAGGGCCTAGGCATATTAAATTTTTCGTTTTCGCAACTCCTTCGGTGCTCCATATATTTGTTCGAAATATACCGCGACCGAAACGAAGCGCGACCGAAACAAAGCGCGACCGAAACGAAGCGCGACCGAAATGATCGGCTACCATCTTAATTAGTTTGATAGTATGATAGGCCTAGCTTCTAGGTTGCTAAGGTAATTTTACGCTTACCTAAATACTCTTCAGCGGAAAGAACAAATCTATCTGTAGAATTCGACGCCATTAGGCGGCCAAACCAATGATCCTTTTAACAAGAAATCCAGCAGTACAAGTTAGGGCCGCTAGCCGCTAGCATAAAAAATTAAGAGACATGGCAACATGAAGTCTGCTGCCCTCACTATATTTTGCACGAAATGTTTGTTTGTTGTGAAAAAGTTCCAACACCAGCAGTTTTGTTTTCGAGTCGAGCATGTCAAAAGAAGCGGTATGATTACTTAGCCTTTTACTCATCATTAAATGAAAGGGCTAGTTAGCTTAACTGTTAACTACAACTTCACAAAATTTAGGGTTACAAATGCTTGTAATATCGTGGTCAAATAGACGCGACTGTGGCTCAATTTCGAAAGTTGTGTCTAGGCCTAGCCCCTAGGCCAGGCGACGACTAGCTAGGCCTAGGCTAGGGAGGCCTACTTAATACTAATGCACTGTGACTGTGTCACTGTCTGCCGCGTGGTACTCCAGATCTAGGCCTAGCTTAGTTGGATGCGGATAGCTAGGCCTAGGACTAGCCCTTTTATAAGGGACGCGGGGAGGTTTGATATCTGCAACACCCTCACCAAAGAGGACGTATTTGTCCCACATTGGTGCTGTTTTTTTTACTCATCATCATAAGGAATTTAATATGGCAAACACTAGTCTATAAGTAGGAAAAGCTAGATTAAACAATTTTATTTTTAAAAGAACTTTTTTTTTTTTTAATTAGGTTTGTGCTGCCAGGAAATACTATATTTCGTGTCATGATGATGAGGTTATCGTACATACCTTGTAATTTCATGTAAATCTATGCGTTTTTTTATTTGGAATATACAGTATTGCACGGTTTCTAGAATCCTACATGTCATGTTCATTCATGCATGGTGGTTGTGGTGTGTGAAAATTGATGATGTCATGATTCAGATCATGATTCAAATTAAAATGGCACAGCTACAGAACAATGCAATAGATACTTGCCTATATAACTTTGGGCCAGTATTAAAGCTTAAGAATGTATCCGTATTATTACAGTATTCATTGCAGATTGGTGACGTGTCTTCCTTTGATGACAGTTATTTACACTAAAGGTGATAAATGTTTAACTATGGTAATGCAGCACAAACTGCAGACTAGAGATCTGTCAGAATTCACCCCAGGATTTAATTTTTTTTTTTTTTTGCATATGGTATAGTTGACCTACTAGAATTACATTTTTCTGTTCACTGAATACAGACCATGTACGATATTATGCACTATATAAAATAAGTTTCCATTACCATTACATAGATGCCAAGTCAGACCAATTTGCGGGCAGGACATTTTGTTTTAAAAACCCCTACCCTAGAAACCATGGGCATGCTGAAAAAAATCCAGAAAATTCCTTCCTTAGATGCTCGGAAAGAGAAATACATTCTTTAGGCTAGTATTTTTACATACAGTAGGTTAAGAATCCGCATTACTTTTTCATGAGAATGCATGTTTCTGCTGTCCACGAGCACGTGGTGGTTGGTAGTGTGTTCTGTGATCTTATCTGACGACACTGACAGTGCTTTGTAAAAGAACGACGTATTTAGTGTTGATGCCAGCTAGTTTTATCTAATCTCATCGAAAAACCAGTAAAAGAGATTTTCGAATATTTACCTTTAAACTATCAACATTTATATCGAGAAGGTTACTTAATATAGAAAACCAACAACCTCAACCAGGGTGTGGTGTGCCACCATTTATTTGTGTGCGAATGTGTAAGAACAAAACCATCTTATTTTAAGTACTGTAATTATATTTAGCGAGAGAGTAACAAAGTATACATTTTTATTATCGGCAAGCAATATTACATTTATGCGTGAGATTTTGGTCCTCAAGACTGACCGCAAATGCAGGAGTCTCACGCCGAATGTGTGAGCCTTGACGTGTATGCCATTACTGTTGCACTGTATAAAATTGTTTCCAAAATAGATGCATAATATTGAATTTTAATGTGATGAATTTCTGCAATTTATTAATATTAGCACACCCACCCTCAGTTTTCAATAGCTACATCCCTGTAAGAGGCACAATCTTTAAGGTCACATTGCATTTTCATTTTTTATCTTTAAAATAGGCTCCACAATAGTCAAAGAAAAATGATCATTCCAGTCCGATGTTTCACCTGTGGTAAGGTGGTGGGTAACAAATGGGAAGCTTATCTTGGACTTCTACAAGCTGAGTACTCTGAAGGGTAAGACCTTTGATTTTCTGCAACCTAAAAATGTATTGACACCGAATCAGAATTTTTGGATCGATCGGACAGCCTACCAAACTGATCAGAAAATCAAAACGGTGTGTAAGAGAGGGACACTGGCGTTCTGCGGTTTGTGTCCGATGTTAATGCAGCTTTAAAGCCAGGCTCCAGAGAAAAAAATTGTTTAGCTCTGATGAGGAGCTCTAGAAACATTCGGCCGATTGATTAATAGATTTTTTTTAGCTATATACTGCCTCTATTATACTGCCCTCACGAGGCTGATTTATAAATACTGTAGTTGATTGATAATTTTTTCTTTTTTTAGTTCTATTGCCTCTATTATACTGCCCTCATGAGGAGCTCTAGAAACACTTGGCTGATTGATTAATAGTTTATTTTAGCTCTTCTGCCTGCATGGGGCTGATTGATTAATAGTTGATTTATTAATATATCTTTTTTGGCTCTACTGCCTCTATTATACTGCCCTCATCGTAGCTTTCGAGAACTTGTTTGATATGTTATAGAACTAATTTTTATTAAAGGGGGGTATCTCATTGACCGCTTTCGAGTTTTTTTGTCAAATATGCTTTTTGTGTCTTTAGAAAAATCAGTTCTACAACATATCGAACAATTTTTTTCTTCTGCAACCAGGCTTTAAGAGCATTTTTTATGATGCTCTCAATACTGTATGTTCAGCAACACTTGTTAAAAATTGTGTTTTTTAAAAAAACATTTTTTTGTCTCCTTGTTTTAGTGATGCTTTAGATGCTTTGGGACTTAAACGCTACTGTTGCAGACGGATGCTACTTGCTCATGTAGATCTGATTGAAAAACTCCTGAACTATGCTCCACTTGAAAAATGATAGAATTTGCCGACTGTTTTGCTGTTAATAAGTTAATAGTGGCCACAGTTGGACAAGAGGATGCAATCTACCGGCTGTTTTTGAATGGATCCAATCATCCTATCACTGTATTTCAGTTAGGATGACAACTATTGTACTTCATAACTGCTACCGCCAGTATCATATTTATTATCCAAGAGAGAAGTTTTTATGTAAATAATAACAGACATATTGGTTGGTTTTCATTTTGTGTGTGTCTTCAAAATGTATTGATAATTGATTGTTTATCATTTTTATGCATTCCCAATAATAAAGAACAGGATTTTTTTTTGAATAAAATTTGTCATACATTGACATTTACTTGCATGTAAAAATCCTTATTCTAGCGTTTTGATTCATGTACAAATGACAATAACATACTCTACACATAATTAAAAAAAAAAACATCATATATTTAGAACTTTTTTTTAAAACTTACATGGATTGAAGATATAGCAGTTTTAATCCATTCATCCATATTTATACAAGCCCAAGCTACTGTATTACTACATCACAAACTATAGCTTTGATGATGAAAGCTGCCAAAGAACAATTTTTTACATAAATATTAACAATGTTAATGTTAAGAAACAATCATTTCCAAGAAAGCATGCCATATACAGTTAAACTTGCCTAAGTCAACTTCCTACAGTAAGTCGAATCATTTCTAAGTCGATCTTATTTTACATACCAAATTGTTGTTTTCCATTAATTAAAAATTTATAAGTCGAATTTTATCTAAGTCGGACAATATTTCAATGGCATTTTGGATTTGACTTAGGCAAGTTCAACTGTAACAACAAAAAGATTTCCAATGCCCTGTCCAGACTATCAAATTTTATTTTAAAAAAAAACAAAACCATTTGACGTGCCTAAATATGGTCATGATGACATCACAATGTATGACTATATACGGGCACACAACAGTTTTTATTTTGTCAAAGAAACATTAGAGCCTTGTTATACAAGGAACCTGTTTCTGCAACTACCATCAGTTTTTCTTGGTAAACAGTTCCATACTTTACTCTTATTTTTGAACATGATACTTTTACAAAGGAACAATTTCTACCTTACCAAGGAAACCACATCAAGTATTTGGGAAATGTTACTTTATTAGAATAAATACAATCCAATCAACACTAATGTGAGGTCTTGCCATAAAATGAGGTGAATCATTGACAAGATATTGGGATTATTTTCATGAAATTTTGAGCATGTCTGAAACAGTATGGTACTTGTATTTTATGGTTGTATAACAGTTTGGTCACTTGCTTTAAGACCAATTTCCTCAAAGGCAATACACTAAATTTAAATGTGTACTGTATTTTTTATCTACTTTGTATGAATGTCATTCAAAGACCAAATTGCACTCACAGCGTCCGATGGACGTTGGCCAATGTGATTCTATGGAGAACATGATGCAAGCGCAACAGAACGTTATTAATAATGATCCATTTAGACGGCGTCGTTAGCGCTCACAGAAAGCTGAATTGGATTCATAGACCAACGGTTATACAACTGTCATTCAACGCAGCTTCAACGATTAAATTACCCAAAGATTAACCACTCTGTTTTTTTTTTTCTTGAGCAGAAAGTCCAATGCGAAAAGATTGATTCGATAAATTTACAAAGATTAATGTACCAAGCCTATGCTAATACCTCACACATCTTTTAACAGAATGTATCCATGCGCAAAACCTAAAACATGCAAGCCCAAACGATGACACAATTGAGTAAAATTATCAAATAGGAGCGTTGCTTCATTCCGTTGCAAGACCTATACTGCATGTATTTCATACACCCACGACTAATACTTTTAACAGTAACATTTCATAATCTTTTAAAATTTATGTTTGTAGCTTCACAATGCATTTTCAGAAAAACTGCTAAAAATTGCAATTTATTTACACAATTTGTAGACAAAAATGTTCACGTAAAATGCATTCTGGTCGTTTTTAAATTTATTGTATCACAAATCCACTTAAGAATCTAGTTTGTATTTAAAGCTTTTTTAAATACGTAAGCCAGGCACTTGCCCAACACGATTCTATCAAGAACAAAATGCCATGACGTGTTCACAATGGATTGTTTTTAATGAAGATTTCTAGAATTTACAGGGAACGGAGTTGGAGTTGTCGGTTGTATGACGGTCATACAATGCAGCGAGTACCCAGAAACTTGTTTCCAAGTTATTTACAGTATATCAGAAACAATGTGGATTTGTGTACAGTACTTATAAAAAATGGTCTGAAAACATAATTTTAACAGAAAGCGAAATAGTTAAGTCACATCTGACTATTAACTATTCACTATTTTAGTTTTGTTGTTATCAACCTGTTAAATTAATCTATAAACCTGATGAATTTATTGAAGGAAAACTGATTATAGTTAAAATAAAAATGTAATTATATAGCGAGTAATGCATACAGAAAATGTGACCAGAACTAAGTAAGAAATAGGTTTTGCCGGTAAAACGTATATATACATATATATATCACCCCTCCCCCTCCCTGTTTTACATTCCCAACTAAGCAATTCACACAATTTTACATAGCAATTTCAAGGCTATTAATAGCAATACTGATACCTAGTTGACATCAACTTTTCTAGCAAATGAAAAATACAGATTCATCTGTATATATTGGTCACTTTAAAACGGTATGGACAAAATATACCATTGGCAGATCCATGGGATAAAAAAAGGGGCAAATTGCCCCACCCTTTGAAACAGAAGAAAACCTTTAACTAAATGTGAAGTTGTGTATATAAGAAATTACAATGGATAAGCACCATAAACCCCAAATATTAATGAGGGTCACCTTTCTCAAACCATTCCATCTCACCATAGATTCTCAAATGAAGCTTTCTGCCTGCCTCGATCACCTCCTAATACCAGACCTGCCAACCCTTGGGTCATGAAAATCTGGAGATTTTTTTAAGGATCACAAAAAAATCTGGAGGTTTCCAGAATTAACAAAGAGGATGCAAGATACCAAAAAAGTCACGTCACTACAAATCATTGGCGGTTGGTGGCGAATTAAAAACGGCTGCTTGTTTATTGCACCACGAAGCGAGCAGGCGGCGAATACATTCAATAATAACGATCAAATCAATCAAATTATGCATAAATCAGAGTATTTTTGGGGAGGGGGTGGCCTGTGAAATCGGGTGAAAATTACATTCGATCGGGATAACTGGAGATTTGTTTAAATATCAGACGACACCCAACAGGATCGGGTGAGTTGGCAGGTCTGTGAAACCATAAACATTAAAATTGTTCAGAAATATAATATAATGCAAAGCACAATGTATTTTTTCTACTATATAACATTAAGCAGATAATTATGTTTAATTACTGAATACAGTATTATGAAAGTGGTTTAGTTTTGAGCATTCATTTCTTCACTACAGCAGCACACCTTTGAGGTTAAACAATGTCAACTGCACTGGTAGGCAACAAGCAAGAGAGTAGCACTAAGTAGCACAACACAGCACTACTAAGTTTATACTGGTTTCCTTTCAGTTGACCATTACCTCCTTGCTTAGCAAGAGTGCTACAAAGTGCTCATCTTGCTTCCTGTTGGCATTATGCTACCTGCTTTGCAAGCAAGCGTAGTGCCACATTATTCTCATCTTGCTTCCAACGTAGCAAGAAAATATATTTTACCTTATATCATATCATATCGCAGCACTTACATTATGCAATACAGTTACCTGTAATAAATAGTTCTGGCTTGGTATAAGTGTACTAAGAATACAGGTTTTGATTGGTATAACCAGACATGGAGAAAAGATATATCCAAAGACTCAGGCTTGCCAAGTCTTCTATATGCTGGATTCTCCACTAAGCACAACTGTCAACCAGCAAGATCTTCCTTAGGATTTATCTGACGATCCATCAGACCTTGTGTGCACTGTATTAAATCGAACATTCCGGAGTGTCAATCAAACTTAGCTGACCAATCAGAACAGGGCCAGGAATATGCGCCTCTCCGCAAAAACGTGTTTGTCCCACAAACGCACATGCTTAGGTACGTTTATGCTATTGTTTTTGTGGACCTTAGCAACAACATCCAAGGGTGGGGTTTAGTGGAAAGGTCCATTAATCAAGCAACCTTAGTTACTGTGACCTATGGCTGAGACGGTCGACATATTCTGATGATCTGAAAGTCCTTGGTTTTCACCCATTGCTCCCGTACCTGCAAACATCTTATTAATATCGTAAGTGCCAACCTGAAATCACCAAAAAAAAAAAAAGGTAAAAATTAATCATCACAACCTCAGTAGAACTCATAAAATATGTTTACATGGCCGATTGCTATCAGGTAAGTAACACCGATGATCTCCAGTCATGCGTCCACACGATAAAACAAATAACCGGTTGTACCAGGGAGTCACATGATTAGAACTGACCTGAAAAAACATGTGCAATGCTGCTTATTTTGAAATCCTTCATCAAAAAAGCAAAAAATTGTATGTACTTGATAAAAATATTTTTCAAATAAGAGTAATTATATGTATGCTGTTTATGAACAGCAACAACTCACACAGGTCAAACAACAGCTAATTTGCATAAGCATCGTGACAATGACCTCTGTTAACACCGCTGCGATGCGGAGGTAACTCTATAGATTATCACAGTTACTGATCCGTTTTGCGGAGTTATTAACACCGTTTAAACGGCTACTTAACCCCTATATCAGATAAACGCGATCGTCACGATGATCTGCTGTGTAAACATGGCTACTGTGGTGTATTTAAGTGGGATACTTATAATAATAATGGTACCATATATCAGAAATGTTAACACCTACGTTATGTACGATAGCAAAACCTGATTTATTTAATTAAAATATATCCGTAAAATAAATTCATTGAATATAAGTAGGGAGCTATTACTGACCTCTTGCGGAATTGGTTCGCCTAGCTCGTTAACTCCTGCATTAAAACGCCCTCCATCTCCTCTAACACGGTTCATTGCATGGCGATGGCGGGATTCATGTAAATATTTCTAGTGGAAAATGAAATAGATATAGGGACTTAAATATGAAATAGTTTATAATGACAATAAAGGAATATTCTTTCTTTCACCAATTCTGCCATATGTAATTACTAAAGAAGGCAAAATAATTTTTTTTATACATTTTTCACAGATTCATTAATTCCTAATTCATAAGATAAAAGTAATGTTGATGTAGGAAATAACATATGACTTGCAGCATTACCATTGTGTATTTAGAGGTATTGAAATTGGAAGGGGAATGATTGGGAGTTGGGAGGCAAAGGTTTATCAATGATAAAGTGAGGGGTGCTACTGGCATAATAAGGTAGTAAGAGTTGATTTTTAACTGTTTTAGCTCAATTTTTTTTCTTGCTTCAATAATTTTTAATAGGGGAGGGCACATACCCCTAGATATGCCACTGAGCATTACTGATTTCAGTTGCTCAGAGGTATGGACAAACTCATTTAGCAACTTTCTTATTCACTAAGGGTCATTTCATAATTATATTCTGTCCAAACTGGCAGGGACTGGATGGACCAATATACTGAGGTAACCTCTAACTCTTCTAGAAAAGTTCTTTGAAGTGCATATGAGTTAGTTATGTTCACTGCGCCTACAGTTTACAAAACTATTATGATTGGGAAGTTGGTTATGTATTTATACTGCGCAAATTACTACGGTCTCTATGCATATTCAGATTCTTAATCTCGTTCAAACCACACCCTGACACACTCATGGCCAGCCATGCTCACATACCCCAGCTGGTCTGTATACTTTGATTGGATTTATTCGGTGTAAACACAAAGGACAGCTCACGAAAGAAGAAGACTTATTTCCAGTGCGGTCCTGGTGGTGATTGGGCAGTACACCAACAGAAAATCCCCTACTCTTTACCAAAGAGTGTACTGCAGTTTTTCACATGCACATGGGCCATAAATGCACACGAGACCAATGGCTTAAACGTCTCATCCGAAAGACGGTGCGCTGTAATTGTAACTTATATTTCAGCCCTCCAGCTGAAACACAAGGAGACAGCGATGGGAATAGAACCGGAGAACCTAGAGTTTTCCACGGTTCAGCGCACACAGCGGCTACCATCAGATTAGCCGACTGAGCTAAGCTGCTCTATAGTGGCTTACCCTTCGTTCTTTAGGTATTTTACCCTCAGCCTCGAGCTTAGCCCTTGCTTGTCTCCTTTTTAGAATACGGTGGTATTGCTTGGCATTCACATACAGCGGCTCCTCTTCTAATAGTTCCGCTCCTGGGAGAGGTATCCGCTGCATTGTGGCTACTCCGCTTGCTCCAGGTACCATCTTCAATAAATCAATCAAAATGTATATTGAATTACCATTTTCAACTCTAAAAACACTCGGCTGATTTATTAATAAATCTTTATTGTATGGGTGGATTTTAGGGCCAATACACTCTACTGCCTCTATTATACTGCCCTCAACGGAGCTTTTGAAATTACGAGAACTAAATTATGTTCGCTTCCAACAGCAAGTAACTCACCAACTGCAAAATGGGATGGACAATGGCTTATAAACCAAGGACATATATGTGTACAAGGATAGGAAGCTCGCTGATCTCGCACTGCATGCCTGATTGGGATCGTTGGTCTATTCAGCAAGCTTCCTATCCTGTACACAGGAGGCTTAGGGAGTTAGAGTTGTTTTAGTCATGCGTAAAGGTCCTGCAGTCACAGGAATCGAACCCAGGACCCTAGGATTAGAAGGCACCTAACTACCACTCAACTTCACTAGTATAATATTACATCTAGCAATTATATTCTATTTTATTATTTTTAATGAGAAGTTGAAAATTATATATAAAAATTACATTTTATTCATTTGTCTCCCCCCAATCAATTTCCAAATAATGTTGATAATACTACCTGTCTGAGCACAAAAAGAATTGCTTTTGATGTAATAAATAGCAAGCCAACTCTGAAGAAAATATGGATAACATTGAGACAAATACAGTACAGTACATTATTACATTAGATCAATGTCACTTGAATTACCATTACTACGCTTCCAGTGTTAGCACCGCCACTGTTGACTGGCACAGCAATAGCAGTGGGAGTCGTGTTATTGGTGGTTTGTGTGGTAGCTGGCTGCTGCACTTGGATCAAACCTTAGGATAACAAATAGAGTAACATTCAATATTCAGTTATTATTCCATTATTAAAATAAAATAAATAAAAATATAAATAAATATAAATAAAAAACCCAAAAAACTTGTAATGATTCTACAACTGTCAATTACTAATAACGATGTTGACAGCAGTAGTGACTGGAACTACTACAAAGACAACAAACAATAGACAGTGGCTACAGTTACACAGGTCTTAAACGAAATCCTAATTCTGGTTGGATGCTATTGTATGTATGGACTAGATTAAGAAAATTACATGCAATCAGAATTAGGAAATAGCCACTGCCTAAAAAAAAAATAGCAGCTTGACATTCTGTGGTATGGAAAGACAAACTGTAGCATGTGTGAGAAGAATTTCTTAGCTGTTTCTTGTTGACTGCCTTATACTACAGTTCGCTTTCCAATTCAAGATCACTATTGGGTCCCGGAAATGTGGGGTGGACTCAGGTTTTGGTCTTAAATGTAGGGTTGGCTTTGTGTTCAAAGATTGAAAATTGATTGTTGCTACTATTGAGAAAAAGTGTTCTCGAATTTGAGTTTATAATTATTATTACTAATTTGTCCATTACCTTGGCCTTGTTGTAAAGTTACGGCATTTTCTGAACCTGCCACTGGTTGCAGCATCACTGTTTGCCCATCTGATGTAACAAGTTGCTGAAGCTTGTAAAAAATAATGATAATACTGTTAATAATAATAATGATTTGCATTGTTTAAATGCTTCATACAGTCTCAAAGCAAGATTAGGCAACTTTTGATTTGCGTGACGACGTGACGCCAGAACGAATTCACTCATATGTGACCGTCCTACAATATCTGCACAACACAGATTCGGACAAATTGCGTCCCAGAATCCATGCGATGATAACTTTTAATTCTCGCATACACAGATGACTTCTTAGTGACGTCATTACGTTCCATGTCCTATTGTCGTCGTGCAAGCGAAAGCCCCCTATTAAAGCAACTGGAAAGAGCTCCTACTCAAGATTAAACATTTAAATTTCATCAAGACCAAATACAATCTCTGGTATATTCACATTTTACCAGAAATCCATTTCATAAGGTGCTGTGACAAAATTCTTTATGTTTGGTACCAATGAACTACGTGATGGCACATATAGTACAAAATAAAATACATACAAATTACTTATAAATAAAAAAAAATTCTCCTGGGTGGAGCAGTAGATGAATGTCAGTCTGAATCCCAACTTCTCGAGCCATTTGATTGTCAAGTTTAAAAAATATTTTTATGAAACACCATGTTGCTCTACTTGAGCAGATGAGAGACAGAGTACACTATACTCTACTTACAGGTGTGCCTTGCTGACCCTGAGGTTGCTGTATGTAAATTTGCTGAATTTGACCTGCTTGACCTCCGGCCACTGACTGCACCTGCATTTGTTGTGGAATTAGTTGAATCTGAAACATAAGCAATAACAGTGAATTACAGGTATTCCTCTTTGGCCCTAGTTGTTATTTGTTATGAGGTGGTCATTTATGACGTGTATGAAAATAATTTAGGAACAGTATACAAATAATGAATGTTTATGAGTGAAATGGGAAGAATATTTTCATGATTTGAAAGATTGACTGTTCCATTCGACGAGGTGGAGTCGAGTTGAATGGAACAGTCAATCTTTCAACTCATGAAAATATTCTTTTCATTGCATGAATAAAAAATATTTATTATTTGTTTTATAATAACACACCTAAAATTGATTCTTGTCATCTCATATGACTTTTTTTCTGAATGGAGATTCTTGTATTTTGATATTTTATGAAAAAATTTACCCTTTTACGAAATGGAACAGCCCAACGTCTTTTTAACTAATCAAAAGATTGCATGAGGTTTAAGTCATATTGTATCCTAGACGTGCAATGGGCAAAAACGGAAGGAAAGAAAATGCATGGATGGAAATAAATTTCCATGATGAATGACGAAATGGGGTAAATTACCAATGTCATGTAATACGAAATCCACCAATCAAATTTAGGTGTGTTATAATAGGTTATTATTTATGGTAACTGATACAGTTTGTGGAATACATGCATGATTAAGACAGAAGAACAATGTGCCCACACTATTAAATTGTCTTTGTATGCCCATATACAGTATAGTCATGATGTGCCTATATGTTCATGTGATGTCATCGATGATACTTAGGCATGTCGCATGTGCTTGTCAAACAGGGTTTTAGCCAGAAATACGAAATAGGCCGTCCAAAATGGAAACCAGTGGGCGTGGCACTGAACCTGATGGGTGCGCCACGCCCATATTTGGGAATCCCCACCGAATATTGGTAAGAAAACAATGTATATTCAATCAATAAATGTTTTTATCAAACATAAATATGATTTAGCTTTAGTTTAATGTAACATTTGATAGATTTGAAGAATATAAAGAATTTTGCTAAAGGTAGACCAGGCCCAATTAGACTAGGCCGAGCTGATTAGGATAAGCCATCGCAGTGAAAGTGGTCATCCTAAATTATTGCCAAAAGACGGCCGGACGGCTCGCTGACTAAGCATATGTTGTCAAATAACATTTGATAGTCTTGATGGGGCTTAAGAACGGCAATACTTGGTTCAACCATGACCCTCAGCCTCAATGACCAGAGAACCTATTACAGGTTGTAAGATAGTTCGACCAGTACATCTTAACCTACCTGCTGAACCTGACCCCCAGGACCAGCGACCTGTAAGGTCTGACCCACTTGTTGAATCTGTACAGCTTGCGCCTGATTGTTTCCTGGCATCTGCACTGTTATTGGCTGATCGCCCGCCACAATCTGATTACCGCTGACTTGTACAACCTGACCCTAAGCAAGAAAAGAAAGATTGTTACATGTAAATGTCACACCAGTGATAGTATTGATTGACCACTCTCGAAGAAAAATCATTTTTGTTTATTTAATAACAGCATAAAATTCCAATCAAAACCAATCCTAGACTTATAAGGTGCCAATTTGAGGGAGTGCTGAGCAAAAAAACAAACAAAAGGAACAAAGGTAGAAAAAAGTATACAAGGAGAAAAATTAGAAACAAGAACAGAAGGAAAAGACAAAAGGAAAACATCAAATGGTGCGGAAAAGGTGACTTTAAAATTTGTTCTCAATGACCTACATATCACTCCAACTTGGCCACTCGCTACGCAGCCTGTCGGTGTGCAGAGACCTCTGAAAACAACCACGCCCTTAAGTATATATCCTGCCTATTCACGCCCTTCACGAACCGCGAAGCAGAGTGATCTTCATTTTGTTCTAATTTGCTCAGCTCAAACAAACAAAATCACATGTGTGTACACAATTAGGCTCACTATTGAGCCCGCAATCAATTACACGATTAAAGACTGTCGTTTGTTTTGTTAAATGCCTTGTGGTGTTTTTACTTATTCAAAATTTTGGTGGCATTAATTATGACAGAGTACTACAGAGTTACGTCACGATGCCGTGTGATACCACTCCGTTGCTATCGTTGCAAAATGCATTCAACCGGGCGCCATTTTCTTTACTGACAAATCCCAATTTCTAACTTAGTTATTAAGATGTTGCATCTTACTTTTTCTTTGTAAATTTTAATTGATGATTAAATGTGTGTTCGATAACTAATATAATGCGAGCTTTTGTGTTTTTAGTACATTTTGATGGTAAACTAAATTAGATTTTAAAAATGCCTATTCCAGAAAGCCTATGAAGTCAATCAGGCGTAATGAATGGTAACCAACGTCTGTTGAGAACAGAGAGCGCAACCTGGCGTCGTTACGACACGACTATGGTACTCTATATTTTGTTGGTTTACATACTTTACTACAAAAATCCTTAAATTGATGAAATCCAGCCGAAAAATTACAGGAAATATATTATTTATCTGTCTGTTAATTGACTGGAAATTCTTCACTCAATATACAACCTAGGCAATTCAAAATTGGAATAGCATATTTCATTTTTTTGTTTTTTAGCTCATAACAGACATTGCTTGGTAAAAATAATCTCACATGAAGTGCAGTGTAAAAACAGGTTTGTAACTTAATTTGGCAGTAGGACCTAATTTCATGTTGCCTTGTTGTGACGATGACAATAAAGTTTATCTATCTTATCCTTAAATCAGTATACCAGTACACCAGGCTAATGTGCTAAACCAAAATATGTATCTATCATTGTAGAGCTTCAGGATTCTGTATAATTCAATATTTGAAATAAAGTGTGAATATATTATATTAAGCAATTAGTATAGCTGTGTATCATAAAATAGTTTAAATTATTATATAAAGGTTAGATAAATGCATAAAAACATTTCCAGCAGTGCTTTTTGAATTATTGGAGTGCTAAATGGTAATACTTTTTGCAACAACAGTATTAATAATTTCATGAGAAATGGATTGTTAATACTTAGTTTCTCTTTGATGTAAAAAATCAGGGCTTAATTTTGCAGAATGTATTGGCATTCTCGATTCTTCTCCACTGACTTTATTAATTTTAGTTATTGGGACTTACTTGTGCTGCCTGCTGAACCTGTTGAACAACCTGTACTTGTTGGCCTGACTGGTTGGCTTGTAAAGCCTGGATGTTCAGCTGATCTGTGCTGATGCTTTGGGCAACTGATGTTGTATCCATGATGAATTTGGAATACTTAACACCTGAAAACAAAAAAGAACAAGTTCAGTTCGCTCGTAATATCTAAAAGCTCCGATGAGGGCAGTATAATAAAGGCAGTACAACTAAGAAAGATTTACTAATCAATCAACTATTAATCAATCAACCGAGTGTTTCTAGTGTTTCTCATGAGGGCAGTATAATAGAGGGCAATAGAGCTAAACAAGATCTATTAATCAATTTTTTTAAAGACAAGTATTGAATGCAGATTTTGTACCTTGTTAAAAGGCCAGCAAATGAGAAATTGATCCATATAATCATAGCCACAAAAGACAAGTGATTCTATGTATCAAACAACACAAGTTAAAATAAATAATGTTATTATTGGAATACACATCATAAGAGTCATGAGATTTACTCTTATTAAATAAAGCTTCCTGGTTCCCCTCACCCCCAAAGAGGCCAAGGCCTTTGGTGCCGCTTCGCACTAAATTCTCCCGTTCTTTACAATCAAAATGTTGGTACGTATGACATGCTGTAAGTCTGATGGAGGCAAAAGTTGAGTATAATTATGAACTTTGGTATCATCCAATACAACTTTGCCTGCATAACAGAAAAGGGGGTGAGGCCAATCAATACCTGTATGTACTGTAACAAATGAGCACATGCCACAGAGAGTTCTTTATCGTATACATAGTAGTAAGGTCTTGCTTAACCTAGCCATTATGATTAATATCTTCATCATCTGCAAATCTTCGAGTAAAATTTGTACCAAAGTGTTTAGCAAAGACTTAATGTATGAGATAGCGGTGACTGTCCTGTATGTATTTGTTGTGTATGGTAGTGGTATATTACTGGAGAGCCTACAAATGAATTGGCCTAGGCCCATTTTATAAAAGCAAAAATAGCATACCATCATCACCCATGTAAATTTTTTCTATCATTTCTATTTCTATCTTTCTTCTCTATGCTGTAGCATTCAATTCAATGGCTAGCTAGGCCTGGGGTCTAGCAATCAAAATGGCTAGGCCTAGCCTATTTATATAATAGTGGTTTTGTTTGTCTTACATTAAAACTAGGCTAAACCTAGCGCCTAGTAAGTAGCAGTAATGTAAGTAAGTAGTACCCAGTCCCCAGGCCGGTCTCAGGTGTCTGTGTACCTTGGCTAGGCCTTGGGCCTGGCCTAAGCCTAGCATGTTGACTCACAGAAAACTCACTCCGTGAGCGTGAGGTTGTGTTGTGTTTGGCACATCGCATGGTTCGGGGAATTGACCGCGTTTCCAGCGCCATATTTGACAATGGATCATATCATTTATCTTGCCGTATACAAGCACAACGCCTTTAAAGAAAGCGATGGTCATTTTCTTGGCATTAGAATTACCACTTCACCTAAACCAAAAATATCCTTGTTTTCAAGTGAGTACTTACCAGTGGATTGTTGATGAATGAAACTTTCCTGATTGGTTACAAAAGACGAGACTTTGTCAATCGTACAACGAATAGGAATAACCCCAGGTCCAAGAGACAGCCTATGAAAGACGCTCTAGCGATTAACCAATGGTAGCTCTAATAACCCCTCGTGACCACCAATGGCGCATCACATTTTCCGGATATCAATTTACATAACTCTCACGAAATGTACACTGGGATAAAATCAAACATGGCTGCGCCCTCGCAAGGTTTGTTTTCCTGGGTAAGTGTTTATTGTTAAATGCCAAATATTTAGTTATATGCTGCAAAAACAAGTCTCGTGTGAGATTAAATAATTAGAATGAAAAAAGAAAAATTTAAGTTAGCAATCAAACACCAGGACAGAACACGATTAATTCACTGTAAGTAGGCTAGGCCTAGGTTAGGTTTAAATAGCCAAGTACCCTCGGCCATGAAGAAGGATTATGTTAAGTATAAAAGCCTTGTATGCATGTCAGTCAGACTAGGCGAGGGCTAGCTAAACTCAGGGGAGGTACGTTGCACATTTCGCCTCCCACTTGACTGGTTATTGCCAAGCGCTTACTTTCCTGTCATAAATTTCTTGTGTAAATAAATAATGATAAATCATGAATCACGAATAAATTTTCTAATCAATCATGGCAGGCTAACTAGGGTCTGGCCTAGGCCCTCCCTAGGCCTAGTTAGGTTAGGCTATAATATTAATAAAATAGGTCCATGGTTTGATGTATCGTACACTATAATAGATATGCATATTGCAGACCATCGTTTTTGTATTGCTTGTTGTGTCAGTCTGGTGGAGTGATGCATAAACCAAAGGCAAGGAACCCCACTGCAGCTATTAAAAATTACAAAATATTAAATTATAAGTATTACCATGTCCATGGTACAATTATTAGGATAATAATATTAAATAATAGATTTTGTATGAAATTTATCTTAATGTCTCATTTTTATTTGAATATATTAAATATACTTATTATATTTAATTTTATTTTCCCAAACTTGATTATAATTAAATATGTTAATTGATATTAATAGTAAAAAGCCATAATAATCTACCTGTATCTAAACTATTGTAACAATAATAATATGTAAATTTAGGCACATATGCATTTCAATTGTTTGCATTTTTATGTTTTTTTATATTTCAGGGTGCTAACAGCTATGGGCAGCTTGGCATTGGAAATACGACTGACAAGTTTATTCCACAACGGGTGGAATCATTTCCAAGTGAAGCGATTAAGTGTATAAAAGGAGGTGGTGGCCACAGCGTAGTAGTAGCAAGTAATACATAATGTTAATTATATTTCAACTCGGTTAAAAATGTACTGTCTCCCTAAAAATGGGAAGATAATCAAGAAAAAGACCTCACACATTAATATTTAATTTTGAATTATTTAATAATAGCATCTAAATGTAGTTAACCAACATTCTATTATGTACAAAAAAAAAATTTCATGAAATTTTGTTTGAAGTATATTAGTGTAAGTCACTTTTACTGTACATTTAAATGTTTGTATTATATTCTGGATTCACCAATTAATGTTCAGTTTCACTGTTTTAAGTGAAATCCAAATAAAAGTTGAAGTTGAAAATAGTGAATATTTTTTCTAATTAGTTTTCCTAATTATCATGGTTTCTATCCATGCAATTTGACTTGGGTTGTAACATTCCTAATTTATTTAGTAAACTTTATTTTTATTTCTCGTTTAACCTGGGTTAACAACTCAGGTGAAACCTGTTTTCCTTATGTTTCTTTAAATCACTTTAGATTAAGTTATTTATTTGATTGTGTGTGGAGAAATGCAATAAATAAACAATGAAACTTGGTTTAAAATTAAAATCTGCAGTAATTTGAAATGAATTCAAACTTTAAAAAAAAATTATATCACTTGTTTGCAACCATAGAGCTAATGATTTATTTATTTTTGTTTAATTAAATTTGTCATATAAGATATATATTCCTTCTTTCAGAGAGTGGTAATGTTTATGTCTGTGGATGGAACAGCAAGGGACAACTTGGTTTGGGTCATCGTGACAACCAATTGACTTTTCAAAAGATATCTGGTATTCCAGCAATAAGTGATGTATCATGCGGATGGGAGCACACTTTAGCTATTACAGGTGAGAACGTTGTCATGTCATTGTAAACACTTTAAGAGCAAAGTTTTAGAAAGAACTTATATATATACCCATACATACTACACACAACTTTTAGAAAAATAATTTGTGTATAATCTCTGTTGGATTCCAATTGTGTAGTTAAGTTTCTTATTTTCGTATACTTTCAACACCCAGACATTTTATGTATGTGTACTGCAACTGAGCAAATGTATCTTCTTGATTTAAATTTATTTGTATTTATTGGACATATCTTGCGTGGCAGCTCTTGCAGAACAAGTCTGAAGTTCTAGGCCCACTTAAAAATAAAAAAAACATAACATAATATAATATACATTTTTAAAACTATTACATTAAGAAAATACAATTTGGTATTGACTTCACGGAGCTGCTTGAAGATATATTGATAAAGTAAACTTTGTCTTTTCTATGTAGTGTGAACTTTGTCTTTTCTATGTAGAAAATGGAAAACTTTACTCTTGGGGTGGAAATAATTTCAGGCAATTAGGCCACAATCAAGAGAATTTGGTAGAAACACCTAAACAAGTACAGGTAAGTATGAATTGGCGTAACTACATCATGCTGAAATCACTAAAATTCTATCCAATTTATGCACTATATATTTTTGTGTTGAGTAAAAGTTGCCATTTGAAAAAGATACTCTACCTTGAAAAAAATTAAGACTTGTTTCATACCTTTGTTTGCAAGGCTGTCAGATGCTGGTAATGAAGCTACCAGTATAAGTAAAATTACTGAATGTTCGGCCTTTTAAAACTAGCTTCCATAAAATTGCTACATTGTCGTGTTTTTTTTTTTTTTTACTACAATCACATTCACTTTGTAGCCATCCCTGACGTAATTAGAAAAGCTCCTGATTCGTCTGATGGATTAATTTCAGCACGTGCTGGGAGCAGCACATCTCTAAGATGACAGTGGTTCCGCTTTTGCTGCTCCCTGGCTCTCCTGATTTTCTTTGTTTATGTATTTCTGATTTTTTGTATTGTTTTATATTAATTGTTTTGCCAGAATGAATAAAATAATATTTAAATAAATAAATAAATTTATCTTAATAAACAAAAAGTGTATTCTATATTTTTTTAGGCAATGGCCGATTATACCATAGTTGACATTGCTGCTGGGTTGAGGCATTCTGTAGCATTGACTAACACCGGGAAAGTGTGGGTGTGGGGGGCAGGCAGTAAGGGGCAGCTGGGTATTCTCATTCAAGGGAATATACCATCGTTGATTGTTGCCCCACAGCAAGGTAAGTGAATTCATGCGACAATAACAACTACTGGATATATTATTTAACTCGCATTCATTCGAACATTCAAGTTTTTGAATTTTCTGTGAGCGAGTCTGGTAGCTGAAATGAATTATACTTGTGTATCTCATCCCAAATCTGGTATCTGGTTACTTACTGCCCAACAACACCATCATAGGGGTTCACATAGTTGGGGTGTAGTCCTTATCCGAGAAGACTTTTTCCATCGCCAGCAACATAGCCGAGTGTGCTCGAACCCGTGCCAATATTATGGCTGTAGGTTACGCCACACTGCCTTATCCGTTTGGCCATTTGACTTGCCTAATGAATGAACTACTACCTACCAAATTTTTAATCTCCTTTCCAAAGAATCCCACCTCTTGATTGCTGTCGCCAAGATGCCATTTTGGCTAGTACTGTGTTGAAATAATTACAAATTATAAATGTAGAAATTCCTATTCATTATTCTTTAATTATACTTTGTTATTTCTTTTTTTTTCGTTTCTGGTTTTTTTTCTGTATTGTTAATTTGTTTAAGTGGACTATTCATACCAGAGTTTCTGAAAGGGCTACCCACTTGAAATATAGTTGAAACAAATAAATATATAAATACATATTCTTTATTAGATTGTAGTACTAATGATATGTATATTTTTTTTTTTTTTTTTGTCTTTTGTGGGTGTTTCCCACCTTTATTGTCATTCCAATGTGTATACACAATTCTTATTTATATACATGCACAGTATCTTACAAATTTGATATAGTACTCATGCTTATATACAAATAGAATGACTGATAAAATTAATTAGATCAATTCTATCAAGCATTTGATTTTAATCATTGCTTTCACTGGAATATATATATATGTAACATATAAATTTAAATTTATATGTATATTGTTTTTTAAAATATGCAGTACCCCTTCCGAATATAACCGTGAAGCAAGTAGCCTGCGGTTCCTTCCACAGCATTGCAGTAACTGGTAAGTGACTAGTACTGTATTATCCTTATGATAGAATGGGTATTGTTACTTGTCTCTGCTGGTTACATATTATTAGTATACTGGAAAACCTCGAATTGAAGCCCAATGGGCTTAAACTTGAGATGAAGCCCATCTCAACTTTGAAGCCCCCTCTTTAGTTTGCAAAAAAAGCCCATCTCGAATTGAAGCCCATGGGCTTCATTTCAAGATAGTATAGGCTTCTTTTTCGAGATTGTACAGTACATACCATACACTATACATGAATTTCAAAAAACAAAATATATTAAAAACATTTTATACTGCAGTTTAGGTGATTTATGCCAGTTAAATCCACTCCATGATACAGATTGATGTTACAGTGGCCTTATTTATTGTTTTATAGGATAAGTTGACAAAATTTCCAGAATTCATTTTGAAAAGAAACCCCCTCTTTACTTTAGCCTCGAAAAGAAGCCCATTTTTAAAAAAAGCCCATCTCGAAAAGAAACCCATCCAAAGTTCGCAATATAAAGAAGCCCAGGGCTTCAATTTGAAACTAAGATACCTTTTCAGAGTCTAGGTACTGTAGCTTATGCTGTCTTTTCAACAGCTTCATTCAGCGGATTGTAACTAAATAGTCCAAGAGCATTAGATTTTAAACTGGAAATTTCTCATAACAAGCTGAATTTTTCAGGATAGGTCCAGAATTATAAGTAGCATAACATACTTAACGTCCCCGAAAATCAGAAATGGTACTCTCAGACCTAAATCTGATTAGATTTTTTCTCCCATCTTTTTTATAATTTCAAAAATGTAGGGGGCCATGGCTGGCTTTACCCCACCCCCAACCCTTGAATGCGCCACTGCCTGTGATTGCAAAGCAAGCATCTTAACCACCAAACCAAAGCTCCACTCATTGATAACATGTAATGTTTACATTCTATTTGGCAGATGATGATAAATTAATGGTATGGGGGTGTAATAAAAGAGGTCAGTTAGGAGAACTGCCCTACGTCCCGGACACAGGTGAAGGCACAGAAAACATCTCTCAGCCAAAACAACTGCCTTCAATTGCCAAGAACATCACCAGAGTTATTTCAGGATGGAATCATTGTATCATTCAAACTTGTAAGTTGGCAGCAAGTGCTTAGCCAGCGAGCCTTCCGGCCGTCTTTTAGGCGGACAAAAATTATTTAGGATGGCCGCTTTTACTGTGACAGCTTGGACAGCTTGGCAGTTTGGCCTAACCTAGTCGGGCCTGGTCTCCTTTAGCAAATTCTTTATATTCTTCGAATCTATCAAATGTTGCATAAACTGAAGCATATTTTAATAACCTATATTAGTTGAATTTACGTTGTTTTCATACCGACATTTGATGCCGATTCCCAAAGAGGTATGACTAAACCATTGTCTACCTGGTAAAAATTTAACTTATAACATGCGTATGTCTTATTAAAAACATACTTATACCCCGCTGGAAAATGGAAGGTTCTAAATCGCCCACAGCGCATGCATGTGGCTCTGAAAATACAGTACTTGAGATTTGGTTCCCCGAGATGTCGTTCTTGTTCATAACTCCCTGGTTAAATTTAATTTATAAAATGCCGTAAAGCAGATTTGTTGTTAACATCACAAGTTAAATTTTAATAGTCAACAAAATACAGTAGTCCTACGCCTATACAACTCTCGATTCAGAAGAAATATAATAGAATTTACACTAGACTAGGGTGAGAGGTGATTCATATGAGAAAAAAAAAATATTAGTATTTATATGTGGCAAAATCAGGCCAAACCAGTCACTCGTATACAGAGTTTAACAGTAAAATAAGAGCTATAAAATGGTAAAAGATCCGACATTTCGTTATAAAGTTGGAGGAGTTTAAACATGCAGTTGTTTAAGGAACAATATTTGAGAAATCAGCCTTCAAAGTGTATGGAATTGGGTATGTCTCAGGTAGAAACCATCACCAAATCGTTAAAAATTGTTGTTTTACAATTGAAAATGGGGAATATAATAGCATAGCATGATGTATAGATAAAAAGGTTAGTTCAGTGCAGTAAAACAAAAAAATGTTGACATTCCGGCATGTTTTGGCCATTATAACAGGATTTGCGACGAGTAACTGGTTTGGCTTGTCTTTGCTACATATAATATTCTAGAAAGGAAAACTAAGGGAGAAAGCCCCAGAGTATGTGGTTAGATAACATATTATAACATGTTGAAGATAGGATATACATTATACTTAGTGTGGCCATTAAATGAAATTCCTTGGTACAAATGTTATTGCTCTTGATAATATGCATCATGGGTGAGGGACGTTACTCAACTGAAGTCCTAGCGACCCTCCCCTAGCCATACTACTGTATGCATCATGGGTGAGGAATGTCACCCAACTACGGTCTTAATGACCCTTGACCCTCATACACTTTCCCTAACTGAACTATGCATTATGGGGTAGGGACATTACTCCATGTACAGTAGGTCCAAATGACTTACATACCCCCTACTCATAAACTATGCATCACAGGGGTGAGGTTGTTGTTACTCCACTTTGGTCTTAATGAGACACATACCCCTAGACTTGCCACAAGTCTCTAATTTATGGATTTTTCGTAGTATTAGCGCATTTCAGAATGCGCCACCAGCGTCAGTTTATGTTGAGAAACTTTTTTGATGAGAAAAAGTATACTATGGAATACCATGCAAATAAGTAATATGGAACGCCATTTGTGCCAAAATCGATTTATTCTTAAGCATTTCAACTGATTAAGACAAAGATTAGGGACTGGAACCCAGTCTAACATACCCGATGCACTATGCGGTAAGGGTGTTTACTTCACTAAGGGATTTACTTTTTTTATGTAGGTGATGGCAGTTTGTTCAGTTGGGGGAGAGCTGATTACGGTCAATTAGGTCGCATTCCAGAAGTGCCAATGTTAGCATCACAGCCGTATGCAGAAGGGTGTTGTTATATACCGAAACCAGTTGAATTTGAAGAAAAAGCATCTCAGGTAGAAACATTTCAATAACTATATTATTTTTATTTCGATGTGAGTTTGTGTCAGGAAAATGTCATAGGAGTGATGTTTTGCCCTACCTGGTGTGTTATCATACCAAATACGTAGTACGTCCCCAAATACTTGCGAAAAAAAAATCGCAAGTGATTCGGGTGGGAATCGAACCCACGACTTCCAGATAACTAGCCTGTTGCTAGCGTGTGTTAATAATAACACAATTAATTTTTGCTTGGACTTGATTTACCATATATATGATTGTACAGAGGATGCTATCATTATATTAGGGAGATTTCACAATCTTACGAAAACAAAGAATACGTTATCATCATTATTCGTGTCTAGAACATTCTTCAATGTATGAGCTGATTATGATCCTTGATTCATACAAAAGACATGAATCGCCTACTCTGTGACAGAATGCTACAGTACAAAGGGTTGTCTAAAAATGTGATGACGTAATCTTATTAATTATTCGTCAGAATCAGAATCACTTTATTATCTCAAAAAGAAGAAATTGTTTGCTCGATCGATAAAACCTTTCTTTAAAATACATTAAAATACATTCATAATAAAAATACTGTACAATACAAAAGTACATCACAAATTCAAAACACCAGATATTAAAAACGTAAAAACACTAAAACATAAAAAATCGAACGCAAAATAGAAGCTTAAGCTTGTGAAAACTCCCTTATATGTTTGATTGTGTGTCAGTAAAAACAATATGATTTCCTACCACAGGATTTACGCATGATTTTTGCAATATATACTTTGCTTGTTTCAGATTGCTTGTGGCTCTGAGCATTGCTTGGCATTAACTGGTCAGTAATCATATAAATATTTTACATTACCAAAAAAAACCCAAAAAACGAAGTTCAATTGAATAATACATTGAATGCAGCATAATGATGTTTTTTTGGTCTCAAAGTCAAGTTGATGTATTTTCATCGAATTGGATCAAACTCATGTTGTTTATCTTATTATCCTGCATCAATTTAATTATTTTTAGGAACTTTTGTATTTTAACAATGTATAAAGATGGCAACCATTCCAACTTCCCGAGATGGAATTTGATATTCTGGGGCCGACTTTAATACAATACAACTTACACCAAATATTTAAAAAAAATTAAAACAACCAAAATTAATACAAGTTTTTTTAGAAATACATTATAAAATGAAGATGGAATATGCTTAAATTTAAGATTTTTTAAGTATCAGGATTTTTATAATAATTATAAGATTTACTTTAAAAAAAAGGCAGTTTGGCGCAGCGATTCTCATTCAGGGTGTGGAACTCGTTGAGGGTTCAAACCACTCGCTGACCATTCTTGGCCGGCCATGCTGAGTTACCCTAGCTTGCACTGTTGACAGGTTGTTTCAGCCCTAGGTGTATTTCATGGCTTATAAATTAATTAAATATAAATATTGTGTGGACACCTCTCATAACATTAGGCCTAATTAACTAAGATGTGAAAAAAAAAATTATTATATATTATATATTCTTATTTGTTTGAGTTTGGGAGTATAGATGGAGTTTTACTATTGAATATGTGAATGCTCTTTTTTATTAAAAATTCACCCATTATTCGCGCAATATATTTTTCAATTGGACAATAAACAAAGGTTATTAGGGGGCATAATGACATCAGATGCTTGACCTTTCAAATATTTTAGAATTTTCAAGTCACCTCTTTGTGCAATTACTTTAAAACTATGATTTTATCAATTCTTATTTATGCCATAAAACCATCCTATCACTAAGTAATCAATAAAAAATAGATGTTCTGTAAGTAGAAGCCTAGTTTTATTAGCATGTCATACGGTCTTTAAACTGCACGTTTGATCATATACATTTTTGATTATTATTATTAATATTTATTAACTAGTTTTTTCTGCTTGATACTTTAACAGTTAATATTCATTTATACGCATGGGGCTGGAATGAACATGGTACGTGTGGAGACGGTTCTACAACTAACGTTTACACTCCAAAACTGGTTCCTGACATCGAAGGCTGGAGGGCGGTTCTGATTGGTGCAGGATACGGCCATTGTTTTATTATGTGCGAACAAAAATGAATATTATAAATTGCAACTCGGAATATTTTAAATGTGAAAGTGGCTCTATCGTCATAATAGGTCTGAATTTATATATCTATGCTAGTTAAAAATGTAAACATCCCCTATATGGTTGTTGGAATACACTGTACATGTCTGCATATGAGCCACTTTTGTAATATTTTTGTAAACATTTTAGCTATAATTTATCGTTTATAAGATTTTTTAAAAGACCAGGGGTAGTATTAGCATTGTTTCATAATATGATAAAAAAAGGTGCATCGTAAATGATTTTTTTTATATGAAGCAATCAATGTTCTTCCAAAGCCAATAAAGGCGTCAGTTTTACCAATAAAAATAACTGACCAACAAGTAGAAATTGTGTGTTGGTCGAATAAAAAAAAAGCATTATTAGGCCCAGGTAGCATAGGCTGGCCTTCTTTGAAAAATGAACATCATTCCACTTTTTCAGTCCATGCCTAGGCTATGATTATATGTATTGTTGTTTAAAGCCACTGAACTCAACTTGAAAGAGGCAATACTTCACTTTGCACGTGCTATGCTGGCTTTATATGGACAAATTTACCAGTAAAAATGTTTTAATTCGGAGAACACTGAGCAATGGATGTGGATTTTTAATTGTGAATTGGTAGTGCATTCCAGAATGTGGGTGATCCAAATGAAATAAGCTCTTGCCAGTAGTTTCATTGTTAGTGTGAGTAAAGAATTCATATATAAAGGAATAAGACTTAAGAGAACAACTTTTAATATATTTAGGGAGAAGTAGAAAAAGGTTGAAAATTGGTTGACTTAGGTACAATTAGGTACAGTTTGAGGTAGCAGGGTAAAGGTAGTCCCATATTCATTAATGAACTTCATGGTACGAATGAGCTGTTAGGAACCCATTGTCCTAATCCTTGGCATTGTGTGGTAGGGTGAACAGTCTTTTCCACACCATCTTTTTAACTTCCCCTGTATATTTCAACCAGGTACCCAATTAAAGAGAGACAAACGTAGATGAAGTGCCTTTTCCAAGGACAAAAGCGAAGCAAGTGTCAGTAGCAGGGGTCCTAAGTCTCCCTGAAGTCGCAGAAACCTTCCAGAAATCGAGAGGGCCTCCTGCACGCAACAGAATCTCCTGCAAGAGAAAATAACCCATCTCCTGCAAATTCATATTTACATGTTTTACTACTTTATTATCAATTGTCTCATGGGAAGTCAGTGCCGATGGGTTTTCACCATGCGCAGCAAAATAAAATTAAATATGTTAAAGCTCACCTAATCAGACCTCCCGGAAGGGACTTCTCCAAACTTGTAGTAGGATTTAGTATAATTCCAGTGTTGACAATTAGCATGTAAATCTCATAAAAATAGGAGTTATGTATATTGACACAGGTATT